ATATATATTATAATATATATGGCATGGTTTCACCATATACATGTACATGTACATATACCATGTGTGTTTTATGTATATTTATATATATATATATATAAATACATTAGAATGGTAGTATTTGCATACGTATTTGCGAGTGTGTGCGAATGCTTTCTACCATATGCACATGAAATAAAACGATAGTATTTTCGCACTATTGCACATGCGACTTGGTAGTTTGTATTATAATATAGATATCCAAACATGTTATCGCAGTTTCATGCTTAGTTATGCAGATTATTCATATTTTGCTATAGGCCAAATGTACGTGACCGTTCATGGTTGTGTACGTGGTCGTTCGTTCATGAATAAGCACATACAACATACGCTTTGGCGAAAATCTCATATGAATGTATCTTTGAGTAATACCTTATCTGCGTATTAAATCTACATAGCTATACATATCGAATATATTAGCTCATGTACATGCACTGGAGGGAAAGTATGTTTAGTGATTTCCCTGCACAGTCTTGGCTGGATGTATTTGTAATGAATGAATACATGTTCACCACATGTTTGTGCAATGCTTATAGCACTGTTATATCATAATACACTTTGGTGCTCCTGTGTAATCTGAACTTGAACACAGTGTCCTGATCACGAGATATTGTATACCTAGTCATAGTGATATCTTGAGAGTTTGTATCCCGCATGTTTTCGACGGTGGTTGTGAGTCTTGCCTTGTCTCACAGTGTGATACTGTCCATCAGGATGACATTAAATGATTGGCAAGTTTGTAAAGTTGATTGTCTGCATGCGGAAGGTACACTGCGTGATCTATCATGCCTAGTAGTATTAAATCCTTCTGTATCTTCTGCTGTAAACAAAATGCAGATAAATCACTACATCAGCACCCAGCTAAACTCCCTAGTGCTCTTCTATGTGCTTCTTCAAATTTTAAAGCACATGTAAGCATCTTGATAATGTTTCTGATTTATTCCTAATTGTTCTTCGCCACACAGAATCTTCGGGATGTTCATGCTCGTGATGGAAGCACCTTTCATCTGGAAGGTCACGGGCGTTACTGAGCAGATCAACAAACTCTTCTCGTCGTTGTGGATGAAGGCTGTGGTGTATGCGCTGTTCCCGTTGTTCGGCTTCATCTGCTTTGGTGTAACCACGCTGGTGGGTATGATTCTCATCTGGACTGTGGCCGCGTGTTACATCTCACTATTCTTGGCCTATAGGAAGGCGAAGAATGCGAATGCCATGCAGAACGCTATCCACATGCAAGGCACAGATCAAGACCACTTCGTGGCCCAAGGCGGTTCCAGGGTATAGTAAAAACCCGTTTATTAAACCTTTGTATTGCTCCCCACAATCATCAATAAATTGCTCCTGTTATACATGCTCGTTTGGTGCTTTGCCTGCTGCCGAGTGCATATGCAAGGATACGTTCTCTCTCTCACTCTTCTCCCCTCCAATTCTCACATTTTTTTTTAATACGCTCCCAAGGTCTATTAGTGTCTGCCATATAGGCTACGCGATTACCTACACGGATTTGACTAGTATCAGCTTTTCAGTAAAAGCTGTCACTATACACCGGGCCAATCATATCCAATCCCGTACTTTCCGCGAGCGTACTATCTGGATTTTGGCATTGATATACACTTGCAAGGTGAGGAATCTACTCCTTCTTTGTATCCTTCTTGTGGTACGTTTTGTTATTGAAGTTGATGAACAACAACAAAAACGATGCATTGGTGAAGAAACTAAAAATGTAGGCCTCCATCCCTACACATCCATGCTGGAAGTGATAGTATAAATATGGCACGGAGAGGACAAAACTAGTGATGAACTGGACGATTTGGAGCTTCGTGATGTAGCGCTTAAACCACACATTGATTTTGAGTGTGGCACAGAAATAGTACCAGTACATGAAGATATGCACAAATGTGTTGAACATCATACCTATACTAGCGTAAGTTAGCCTGTGAAAGGAGAAGGAAAATGAATTTAGTATCGAAATCATCACAAAGTACCCAAATCACGTTTACCAACCTTCGCCCAAAACCTTTCCACCCAGCCAGTCTCGAGTGTGCGCTTTGCCCGGAAGACACTGTTCTCAGCTGCACGCAAGGAACTTATAACTGCGTGAACGCAGTTCTGTAAACGATGGAGTATGCACAAGCTACCCGCGGTTGAGAAAATATTAATCGTAACAACGTGATTAACAGCAACAGATACATACTTAAAGCGGATCCATAGCCAGACCTGGATGATAACAATGGAATGATGATACCAGTGTAAAAAGATGGGTTTCCTGGCCTTCAGACAGAGTATCATTGTGTCTAGCAGCTCGTAGAACTTGCTCACTGTACAAAGGTAGGTGTATAGCTTGTCATATAAATGTAGCACACCAAAATCTTCCGGAATACAAAATCGGATGTCACCAAAATTTCTTTAAAGCGAAGATTCAATGTATTCACACATGGGACATAATTGCACATAAGCCGATCTAAAGTATCGAACTCGCATTCACGATTGAACTCCATACTGCTTTCGTGGGTCGCACATACCATAGTAAATGTACATGTGGAAAAATAACAGGTTTAAATCCGCACGCTTCGGATCATTCGCTTGTGCCTCTGTCAAACAGAATGCTTCCTGGTATGGTTGGGGTCGAAAGGATGCATGAATTCAATCTAAAATCATGAATAATTCGAACGATGTAAACACTAGTGTCAAGTGAAGTCTACAATTGATCGTGTGCAAACTTGGAGTTGGGCAATAGCTATCCATTCAAAAGAAACAAAAACATGCGGCTATTAACATATGGGCACGCATCGCAAGTATATATATATATGTGAGTTTATATATATATATATATGTGAGTTTATATATATATATATGTGAGTTTAAATATATATAAATGTGAGTTTATAAATATATCTGAATATATATATATCTATAAATATATACATATACATATATACGTATATACATACATATATACATACATACATACAT